CTTAAAGGTCTTTTCCTACCTAAATGATTCTATGATTCTATATTAATAAATTGCAAACAGTACATTTAACCATAGCAACATTTGTTCTACCTGCTGTGAAAGGTCTTTTACTTGTATTTCTAGTCTCTGGTTTTCTCTTTCAAGCAGAGAGGCATGCTTATTGGCTTTATCAGCATCCTCCTGCAATCGCTGGATTTCCTGCAAGCATAAAAACATTAAGAAACACATAGCAATTAAACTCAGACACATATCTTTCCAGAGAGATAACAAAGAGACATGCCTTGTGAATCAAACTACACTTTACTTCTTTAAAGTTAGACTCCAAAAGTTAGACTCCGCATATTTACAAATCAAAAGCCATGCTCTTTCAGGCTGTACTAGTGTATGTATTAAAATTAAAGGGAAGTGGGCACCGAAGTCCAATTTTATTTCTTTGGACAGACAAATACTAACCTTTGATTATAAAGAATTCTACTTTCTCAGAAAATTAGAAATTGTAAGTCACCACATTTAAGCCTTCATTATAAAAAAAGTCTGAAAAATGTTCTTTCTGTAAAATACTTTGTACGGTCCAATAAATCACAACCCAGAAAGTTCAACAGATATTTTCCTCACAATAAAAGTTGACTAGAAGATCCATTTTATACATTTACTAACAGTAATTAGGATTAAGGAATTAAAAATAAATTCTTCCCGTAATTTTACATGCTCTGTTATTTTATACTGACCTTCATAGCTTGTTCAAGCTTCGCAGACAGACTAGCAACAGCTTTTTGGGAACGCTCAAATTCTTCACGCTGACGTTTTAAGATTGGTGCTTTGGCTTCTACTTCCTGCACTATTTCATCCAAATATTTATTGATTCTCTTATTCTCCAGCTTTTCCAAAAGCAACTGATCCTGAGTTTCTACATATGCATTGTACAGCTGCAACAAAAGATTTTTTGTTTTGTTTTTAATATCTCTGTCCAGATGTATCAAAGAACCACTGGTAATTACATAACTCATACCTTAAGGTGGTATAATGTTATACAACTCTAAACTAATTAATTCAGAGAAACAAGTTGGACTTTTTAAAATAATCTGGTTTTAGGACTCATATCATGGCAAAGCAGTTATCCCTATTAATTTTAAAATGGCAAAATTTTATAGTGTAACTGTACGCAATGAAAGAATTCTATGTAAAATGGACAAATCTTAAGCAAGTTTAAGACAACAGAAATATCAAAACTAGTATCACAAAAGAAAGCAGCAAGCACAGAAGTAAGTAATTTAATGGCTGGACAGAATGACCAATAAGAAACAAAATGAAAATAATAATTGCATAAATAAAGTGTAAAAAAACCCCTAGAATATGTACAACCTATCATTATGGATTTTTCTGCAAGTATAAGCCAAATGCACAGCAGCACTGATTAAAAATTTATGTAAATAAGGGGAAAAAAGAGTTCCCGCCAAAAATGGATACAGAAAATAAGTTTACATACACAACACCCCCCCCCCCCCCCATTTCAGAAAAAGAATCAAAAGACCCTACAAATATTTTCATCTACTAAAGAAAAGCCGTAAGGTATGTTGAAAAAAAATCCAAATAACTAAATAACTTAACCAGTATAGTGTGCCTCAAATGCATGAAAAGATTTCATCAGCTTCAGTCAGGCATTACATGAAGTACAAAATGGTGAATGAAGTTTACACCCTTATATTAACATATTTCTGTTGGCATTTAAAGGGCCTTGAAATTGAAGAGATTCTTCTCACTTACCTCAGTTAATTTCATTCCAGGCTTGACTACTTTAGCTACTGCTGCAGCAGTGGGAGACATAGCTGCCAGTTCCTCCTCAGACAATATGGCTCCTGAAGACATAATCCCATCAATTACCATTAAAAAGCTGCAATAATTCCCATCATAAATATTCTTTATTAATATAGAGGATGTCTGCACACACCTTTGTGCTTTATAACTACTGTATTTTAAGTTACTATTTTAAGTCCTTAAAGTTGCTGGTTTAAGAGTTTTCTGTAGTCTCTATTATATATGTAAACTCCATTATACATATACATGTGCAAGTGACTTGTATTATATACAATATTTCATGTCATACATTATCAAGGTCTCTGACTAGTTCAATCTGAAATGCTGAAAAGCTTTTGCTATTAGACTCTTAAAATTTAGATCACTTCTGAGCATAAGCAACTGAAATAGCTGGAGCAAAGCTTAACATCAGATTTCTTAGCAAACTTCAGGAGGTTTAGAGTGGCAAAGCACTTGTTTACTTCTATTAAATTAACATAGGGAGATAGCAAATATACTTCATGACTCTCTGTTCCTTCCTGCTCTGCTCTCTCTTTCCTTTAGAAACTACCTGTATGTAGCAAACACTGCTCTTTAACAAAATATAGAAATGGAACAGTGAATATTGAGCAAGATTTAATGTTAAATAGAAAGTTAAGGACAGAGGTTTGTTTTCTACTGCTTTTTTTTATTTTTTTGGTAATAGGAAAATAAGAATAGTTTATCAACCCCATTGCCTCTCCAGAAAACCACTAAAAGCACAATGATTCAGCCTTAATGAAATGTTTCCTCTCCTTTTTCTTTGAAAAGGTAAGTCAGATTAACAAAAGAACTTCAAAAACCATTTTGATAGAAATACATTTTCTGGTGGGGAAAAAAAATATACTTTATAGATATATATACACACAGAGATAAATATATTTTGATATATACATGAAACATGAAAAAGCTTCTAAAATACAAGATTAGAAATTACCAAAGATGAACTAAGATTAATGCACTTACTTCCTATAGAAATTCAGCATATTTTCATGCAAGACTACTTACAATAGAAAGCCTGAGGCTTTATCTATTTTAGTTCCCAGCAGGACCCGTACCTTTACGCTTTGTAGCAGACAGTAGATCATTAGCATTCTCCAGCTCCTTTTCCAGTTTACTAATCTTCTCTCTCAGTTCCTTTTCCATTACAGCTTTTGACTCTTCCACCTCAGCCAAATGCTCCTGGGTTGCTTTATTAGCTAAAATTAAATCAGACAAGCAGTTTTTTGTGTTGTGGTGAGTTTTATTTTTTCTTTTAAAAAGACCAAAATTTGCATATGTACCTTAAATTTCACTTTAACTTCATATGATTTGCAGAAGCTCATGCTGATAAGAAAACTCAGTAGCATGACAGAAGTATGAGCTGCTGCCTACCACCTTTGCTTAGAAGAGGGCTAAAATATGAACTGTCCTTTTATCAGTGAAAAGGAATCTAAAATGAGAAACTAAGATGAAGACATGTTGCAAAATTAGATCTTCTCATCAAAATCCAAAGTAAAATACCAAGTATATTTGAAGATAGTGTCCCGTCCCTCCCTCACCAAGTAAACTCAACTAGTCACATAAAATTTTTGTTACAAAGTGATTGTCATTTCCACCATCCCAAAAGCCTAATGAAGTTCCTTTCATAAACGCTCAATACCTGTTTTTCAATGTGTCAAGGCAGTTACAAAGAAGTGTAACTGTCCTGTTCTATTTGCAATTTCTCACTCACAGCTTACCTTCACCTGCTTCCTTCAGAAGCTTGTGCAGCTCTTCTACTGCTCCCGTCAGTTCATTGCTCTTTGCCTCCGAGTCATCAGCAGCACTCTAAATAAAACCATTTTATTTAACTTTTTATTATACAGTAGTAGCATCTATATAAGAAAGCTCAAACTGAACAAAAATTATGAACATGCAGGTTTTGAGTAAAATGCTAAAAGATTCACCTAAACTGTACAATTCTCTTTCCACTTGGATTAAGTCTCACTTTGCAAACTGCCCATCTGAGATTAAGAAGTGTCAGACATTAATTTGATATGACAAATCCAAATAAAACATATGCCCTTTATTGTTCCTTCTCTTCACTAAAGAAAATTTGGAGAAATTGAGTACTCAATTTTGATCATTCTGAAAAATTTGGTATTTTTAGGGAATCTATTATATAAACAGCTTATGTTTCTTTGCTTCCAGTTAGAGTTCTCAAGTGCAAGACTAAAATACCTCAGCAATTCTGCAAGTCCATTAGAGATAAGTGAAATAAAGTTGATTCAATTTTTGCTAATCAGCAAAGTCTCAGAATAGGCTCCCCTGGGGGAGCACTCAATCTTGATACTTTTAATATCAGGTCAGACAAATATGTCAGTTACAACTGCACAGCAAACCCTATGTTAAGCAGAAGACAAACCTTTAAGCCCCTTCAAACCAATGACTCTATAATAAAAGCATGAATGAATAGGAGTAAAAGAAAAAAACAAACAAAACAAAACCAAATTAAAAGGTAAATGGCAATGCATTATGTTCCAGAAAACTTAGCTATTGGCTTGCTGTTCAATGAAGGGACATCAGTTTACATGTACTCAGACAAAGTATTAATGTAGAACTCGGAATTAAGCAGGGTAGAATATTTATGTGGGTATCTATGCAAGAATACTCAGGAAACAGAACTCATTATCCTGTGAATCTACTATGTGTAAATTAAAGGGCAATCAGTTGTCCTCTTTAGCTGACTTAGTCAACTCGCCACAGGATATTTTTCACTCTTTGAGCCAACAAAACAAACAAAAATTATTTGTTTAGTGCTTTATTTTGACATAATACATGACATTCAGCTGTGTCTTAATCACTAACATTTGCAGTGTTTTTTGAAATGAACTTCTACTAACCGAACTCAGAAGAATCTCTCGCACAGTCATATTTTACAAACCTTTACCTCCCAATAAAACATTGTAAGACATAACCACATTCATACAACATGAAGCCTCAAAACAGTGAGCGTAAAATTACTATTTTAACTTCAGTTTTGCTTAATCTACAAAATCATCCAAGCAATGTAGTATTTCAAACGCTGCCTAAGACAGCAGCAAAGAAAACAGTATTTTGGATGTTTCACAATGTTTGCAATAGAAGTTAGTCTTCCCCACATCCACACTTTGTGGGGAAAAAAACCAAAACTGGCCTGCATTACTTTTAATGCTAAGATTCAGCTCCAAGTAATACTAATATATGATACAACAGAATCAATAAACTCACCTTATACAAATTGGATAATTTTATGTGGGCATTCAGTTCATTGTGGAATCTTTCCTCCATACTAGCTTGCTGTTCCTTTGCCTAGTAAATTAAAGAAGAGACAGGGTGGGGGAGCATTCCACTATTTCTATTTCACACATTTTGGTTTTTTAATTTGTAGAAGCAACTATAACGCTGTTTCACATAAACTTCAAGCTGTCTTACCTCCTTCATTTTATTCAAAAGGTCCTCCACATGCTTCTGAAGATTTTCATTTGACTGTTTTAGGCTGTTTACCTGTTCCTCCATTCTGGAAACCTGTTCAGAGAATACATGAGAACACCATGTATAAATTTTTCTTTCTAGTCCAGTTTATTTTGGAAAACACTCATCTCACTGTTCTTTACTTTTAAAAAGTTCCAGAAACAGCATAAATGGTTACATGAGCCAGCAGTGTGGCCAGTTGGAGAAGAAGGCCAGCGGCATCCTGGCTTGTATCAGGAATAGTGTGGCCAGCAGGAGCAGGGAGGTGATTGTCCCCCTGTACTCGGTGCTGGTGAGGCCGCACCTGGAATACTGTGTCCAGTTTTGGGCCCCTCACTACAAGAAAGACATTGAGGTGCTGGAGCATGTCCAGAGAAGGGCAACAAAGCTGGTGAAGGGTCTGGAGCACAAGTCTTATGAGGAGCAGCTGAGGGAACTGGGATTGTTTAGCCCAGAGAAGAGGAGGCTGAGGGGAGACCTTATTGCTCTCTACAACTCCCTGAAAGGAGGTTGTAGTGAGGTGGGTGTTGGTCTCTTCTCCCAAGTAGATAACGATAGGACAAGAGGAAATGGGCTCAAGCTGTGCCAGGGGAGGTTTAGGTTGGAAATTAGGAAAAATTTCTTCACGGAAAGGGTAGTCAAGCATTGGAACAGGCTGCCCAGAGAGGTGGTGGAGTCACCATCCCTGAAAGAGTTCAAAAAGCAGTAGACGTGGCACTTTGTGACATGGTTTAGTGGGCATGGTGGTGTTGGGTTGATGATTGGACTGATGATCTTAGAGGTCCTTTCCAATCTTAATGATTCCTAGTTTTTACTTTCATTAAAAATAATCCAGCCACCAAGCCAGGAAACATGAAATTGCTACTCTACCCTTAATTAGTTTGGTGGTGGCCTTGGTAATGTTAGGTTAATGGTTGGACTGGATGATCTTAGAGGTCTTTTCCAACCTCAACGATTCTACGATTCTATGATTTGCTAACAGTCTTTGCTCCCATGCATTCAGCTAAATGAAGAAGTGAGAGTCCCCAAATTGATCCAATTATACATAAGCAAATATAACCACAAGCCTCAGTGGAGCTAAGTGCCACAGAAAACCCAACCAATTTTCAGAGTTGTTAAAGAAACTGCTCAGGTACGCAAACAGAAGCTCGCTGAAGCTGAGTATCTTCAAAATACGGCCATTGATTCTTCCATGTATTTTGTCACAGGAAAACAAAAATATCACCACCCCACTCCGCAAAGAATGTTAAGTCAGATCCTTCTGCTCCTCCCCCTTATTAAGAACTGTACTCCCATACATTTTAATAGCATTATACCATTATATAGCTTTGTTATCAGTGACTCCAAAATTTCTAGCTTATAATTAAAATCTTTGACTTTTCTATTCTAGACAATTGTAACTATACATATTCCTTAAAAATCACAAGTTAAAAGAAAGAACACCTCCTTATTAATTGCAAAACATACTTTTTTAACTCGAATAGAGTTATTAAAGTGCTTGGTTTTGTTTAATACAGTTAATCAGGAGGTATAATTTATAAGAAATGGCAAAAGTACTCAGTAATTACACTACCTCCTCCTTTTTGTTCTCCAGATTACATTTAAGCTCCAAGATTTCATTGCCTTTCTCCCTGGCAGTATGTAGAAGTTCATCTGTTTTGGCTTTCAACTCAGCATTCAGCCATGTGTTTTGATTCTGTAGTAGTTCCTTCTCTTGCTCCAACCTTTTCTCACGGTACTGAAAAGAAAATAGCACAGTGTAATTGTACTGGTTCCACAGAAAATAAAGCAGCTAATCAAAGTACTATAGTCAGAGTAGGAGTAGCAAAAACGTACTGTAATTTTGTAAATAGCACCAAATGACAGGCAGTGTTCCTTATTACATTGGTAAAACTTACTAGCCTCAAACGACAAGAACTTCTTGAAAATTGAGTTAGTTTCCTCAAAGTTAATGTTCCCAGCTAAGGTAAACTAGATTAATATCTAGTCAAAGGAAATAAATTAAGGTACCAATGTTTTCCTCCTCTCTTCTCCTTTCCTCCTCTCTTTCAGCTCTTTATGGAGTTTATTCTGCCCACAGAGAAATGGTGCAGGTTCACAAATAATTATTTTTCTCCTTTCTACCTGTCTTCATGGACTTGGAGTCCTTCTTCCTAGTGGGTAGAGCAGCCACCATTGCCACCAACGAGGGTTGGACATGCTTGCCCAACTTGATGCCCTCTTGCCTTTTATACATATATGTCCCACTTCCACTCCCAGCCACCAATTTTATAATAAAATAATTTGTTATAAATAACAGAGTACACTCGACCTACTTTCAAAGTCAATAATGACACAATGATGATTACATCACATGTAAACAACTACTTATTAGAACATTAACACATACTATGCATATAAAGTACTACTCACCTTCATGGAAACATCTAATGTTTGAAGTTCATCCAACTTTAACTGAAGTTTCACCTTTTCTGTGTTTGCTTCTGTAAGCTTTTCATTTAAGCGTTTAACATCCTCTGGAGGAGGGAAATCAGTGTTAAAAAAGCTAACTGTATAACAGTTTTAATTACTCAGCTTACCTAAATTGTAAAGAATGAGAACAGGTAAGATATATTGTATGTAATTATATATTGTGCAATAAGATTGTATAATGTATGTTTTTATATCTACAAAACCAAGCATCAAACTGCTGTGGTTTTTCTGCAATTAGCATGTAATTTCCTGTCTTGTTTCCTTTTCTCTAAATACTGTTTCCTGCTAATCCATTATTTGATGCTGCTTATACAAACTGCATACTCCATACCAGCTCAATTGTTCAAGCATGTCTTTTACTTAGCAAAATCATGTGAAGTATTTTGTTAATGTGTTCTTGGCTATACCGTTTAAATGTTCAACTTCCTGAGATCGTCTTTCACTTGTTCGAACCAAATCTCTCTTTTCAGCTTCCAGTTCTTCTTTTTCTCTACTTAAATGGCTCTGAAAAAAATTGCAAAAGAGCAATGAAGAAATGTGATCAGCTTTCTGTAACAGCTTATAGTTGCTATTTACACTTACCATCACAGAGAATCATGCTGAACCACAGTAAGTTACCCCAGCCAACTGAAAACTGGGATAAGAGGCTTTTATAGTGGGCAGCTGAATCAGTCTAAACTACATAGTATGAAAGCATGGTTGCTTCCCTTTTTTCCTGTCATATTGGGGTATATAATTCAAACAAATGCAGGTTAACGTACCTCTTTCTTCTAGTGCCTAACAGCTAACACATTTCAATTAATGTTTTTTTTTTCCCCATAAAATCACTCTGATACTATTGTCCAGCTGGCCCTTTGTGCTTAAATGCAAAATGCCACTATCACATAAGATTAGACAGCAAAATGAGGTAAGTATCACACAGCTTTCAAGACCAGCATACTGAACAGGTAGTTTTCATGCCTTTGCTTTTCAATTGGTATACAGAGGTCCAAACTGCCACAAGACTCCCTCTAGTTCTAGCTGTATTTGAATTAAGATTAGAATGAAAATTGTTGAACTTAGAGCAGATGAAACAAACTGAAGGCCTAACAGAAATCCAAATCAAACAACAGGAACTGTTCAAAACTGCATCTAATTTTAATATGCTTTGAAAGACAGGTTTGATAGTTAAGACTTCACTGAAACAGTTTCATTTGGTTAAATAAAAGAGATAACAGAGTAACCAAGGAATGAACACATGCAAAACATCAGTATCAAATCAAATCGAAGTCGATGGTCTTGGATCCTTTATAGGCTATAGTACTGCCTCTGCTTTCTAAGTTGTCAATACAAACCACTTCAGTTAGGGCCAGATAAGCCCCTCTGGGGAAACAATCAGATCCATCTTCTCATTGTGGACAAATCAATCTAATAATAATGTTTTCGCTTCCTGCTCCAAAATTAGTGTTCTGCTGGATCAGTCAGCTGAAGTGACTCATCCTGCAACCCCATGACTTTTGAGCCTAATGCAAGGAAAACTGTACCAGAGTGTATGAAAGGATGGGGGAAAGAAACAGAACACTTCTTTACACCTTTGTCCAATTTTTGAGGTTCGGCTTCAAGTCATTTCACAACAGGTTTCAGCTAGAATGAAACAATCTATCCGAACTGAAATAAAAGCATCTGCTCTGACATATGTTCACCTGTAATTCAGTTTGTTAGAACACCAGCGTTTACTTAAAAAAACCCACACAATTTTCCTGTATACACGGCCATACGGACATGTAAATATGTACACCAGTACATATTTGTACTGATATTGATACAGTCCAGTTTGGAAATTGATTGCATTCTTTTCTGCAATGAGGCAGGTCTTTCAACTTATCGTCAAGTTCTTCCAGTACCTGAATGGCTGCATTACGATCCTGAGCAGCTTCAAGTTCTTTATTTTTCTCATTGAGTGACTTCAACTGTTCATCTGTTGGATAAGAAGAAATAGTAGTGAGGGATCTCCACTGTAACATGATGACAGAATTCACTCTCCAAATAAAATTAGGCCAAAATTTCCCTTCACAACATTTAAAAAAAAAAAAGACAGGAATTCAAGACTTCACTATGGATGGACTAGGCAGTACTGTAGCAAACTAATGCAATCCTTAGAGCAGAGGCATTTATTGTGAAGATCAATACATAACCCACTATACTACTATTATTACAGAAATCAGAAATCAGGGTTTTTGTTTCCATTAGAAAAAAAAATCCATTAAAAAAAAGCCAACTTGAAGCAAAACATGTCTCTACTTGCAGAAATAACAAATGTAGCTGATGGATGGATTTTCAGCGCCTATTTAAAACTTAAAGCATTTCAGCATAACATTGGACTAAAGAAAGAATATCCTGTTCAATCTTAAGAATGTGCAGTTATACTTACGAAGTTTTTTAAGCTCCTCACGGAGAGTTTGACATTCTTGTGTCTCATTTACAAGTCTCTCCTGACTTTGAGCCAGACGCTTTTCTACTTCAAAGTACTGTTGTTCTGCAAAATAACAGTTATGTCAATTTCACTTAATAAACATTTTTTTTTTCTTTCTCACCTTTATCAAGGATCCTCATTAATGGACACCTTTATTAAAGAACTGTATTTATAAAGAAAATATCTAAAAATAGTAAGACTAGAGTAGAATTTGAAGAAAATTTTGAAGGCAAAAAGATGCATTTCCACATTGAATTAACATTGCTTAAAATACTTTGTTAGCATGGAAAGTGGTATGTTTCCAGAAATGATCCATAAAATAACAGCCTAATTAATCTTAATAGCTAACATTTTTGATGTAGCTAGAGAATGTTGTATCAGCATGATCATGCAGTGTGGTCTCATCAACTTAAAACTTCTTTTACCTGTAGCATACTTCTATACACACACAGTAAGATTCACATAACCCTAGGTATCAACAGATTTGATTTAGAAAAATTTTAATGAACACTTCTTAAAATGAATTCTTGTGCTCTGTGCTGCATATCCCATAGCACTGAGAAAGATAACTAGATCTAAATTTTGGTTATCTGAAACAGTAGCTGTGTCATATAGCTTAACTGTAAAATACTTGGCAAAATCAGAACTAATCTCACTCTCAGGCATAGTGGACTTTTAAGGAAGTACTGAGGGATTTTTTAATTTATCTTATGCTTTCTATCATATCTTACAATTTCAAATAATGCTGCCCCTCCAACCACACAGGAGAAGAACGGACCTGAAAGAGACAAACCTGCTAAAATCTGTGGGTTACCCTAATTTACACTACTGTCTATTAATTTACTTTAGCAATATTTTTATCGTGAAAGAGACAGAAAAGTTGAAGGAAAGGTGGAAGTAAAGTTTACATCAAACGTACGTCACCTACATGATAAATTAACTCATATTCACAGCCCTGCCTAGTACTTACACTCATCTACACACCTCTCTCATTTCTACTCCAGTTCTCTACTGGCATTATTTTTTCCATGATCAAGTAACCTCCAAATCAATATAAAAATGTTGATTCTATCAGGAGCATTTTACAGAAAAGTTATGGCCTTCAACATGGAATTTAACAGAAAAAGTATAAACCTAAGGCTATTTAAGAGTTGGGTAAACAAGTCATTATTTCTCTTCCACAACAAGAATCAAAGCAAGCTTGTTAAAAATCTGATGAAAACCTGTTAAGTCCATTTTTAATGCAGTTTTAACTCTGAATAGTCCTTTACAAAAGAAAAAAAAAAAATCAAACTCCTCTTGCCAAGCGAAAGTGAGAGAAAAAACCTTATGAGGTCTCAACTGAAGGGCCCTTTCCCAGCCAGCAGACACACCCCCCACCTCAGGGCCTTTTCCGAGGCTGAAGACGCACACACTCATCTCACAGGCCCCAGGTCACCCCCTGAAAGCGTTTCGAAGACAACGACCCGTCAGGCCCAGCCCTACCCCCCTCCCTCCTCTCATCTGAGAGGACTACGGCATTGCTCCTTCGCTAAAAGCGCGTCGGAGCAGGGGGCACCCGGTCCGACCCCAGCCCACCCGTCCGCAGCCG